CATTTAAGTTTTTCAACTACATTTAAGGGTAAGGGAAAGTTCGTCAACCACATTTGGTACAAGGTGGTCATAAATAATCTTGACCATTAAATGTGAAATTGAGTGGTTGCATTTATTTTATTGACCAAGCTCAAAGTTCAAAAGAAATTTTTTCGAACTTTATGACACATCCAAGCTATCAAATTTCACATCGGATGGTTATAAGTATTTGTGAGGATACTTATAAGTAATTGTGACCTCCTTGTATAGAAAGTAAATGGTTTCATTCAATGGTTTAAAAAATGGATCAGTGCCTCGGATCGGGAACCTCAAAAACTCATTCGGATTGGTGAATCGGCGATTCAGATCAGGAATCGACCGAATCGATCGAATTAAACCTTAAATAAAATCTAAAAAAATTATTAAAATTCATTATAAATGTTGCTTTTTAGGAATCTAATAAAAAATGGGGGTACTACATTATTAACTTTCATTTTTTTTTATCAATATGCGAATATTGAGATGTTCTTTCCCCATATGAACTTATGTTAACCATTAAATTTATATCACATAAAAGAAAAATCATAGAATTATCATGGATGAAATATATAATCATACATGGACTACAATAAAGAATGGATTAAATTGATAAAAAAAATGCCACAAAAAATGGCCACCAAAATCGATGAAAAGATGGCCATTACTAACTAACTATAATCTTATATACTGAAATTGAAATTGTTGGTTTACATTTTTATAATTATTTTACTATACAAATAATAAAAAATCAAAAATATCTTACAATATCATCTAATTTAAAGTATATTATTGACAATTGTAAAAAAAAGAAGTAAATTACATATATTATAATACAAATAAAGTAATAAATAAAATAAAAGATAGTAAATTATATAATTTATAATACAAATAAATTAATAAATAAAATATAAGATTTGGTTATCAATGTAGAAATTATTAGAATGCATACCAATTTTAGAAATTACACTTTAATTTTGACAAAAAATTATTTTTTGTCAAGGTAGTTTTTATTTTTTTGTCATAACTTTTATTTTTTGTCAAGGTAAAATTTGTTTTTTTATCATAACTTTTATTTTTTTTGTCAAGGCAACTTTTATTTTTATTGACAAAAATTTATTTTTTTGTCAAGGTAACATTTATTTCTTTTGTCATAACTTTTATTTTTTTGTCAATGTAACTTTTATTTTTATCGACAAAAATTTATTTTTTTGTCGAGGTAATATTTATTTTTTTGTCATAACTTTTATTTTTTTGTCAATGTAATGTCTATTTTTTTGTCATAACTTTTATTTTTTTTATCAAGGTAACTTTTATTTTTTTTGTCAAGGTAACTTTTAATTTTTTTACAAATATTTATTTTTTTGTTAATGTAATTTTTATTTTTATCTCAAAACTTTTATTTTTTTGTCAATGTAACTTTTATTTTTTTTTGTCATAACTTTTATTTTTTTGTCAAGGTAAATTTTATTTATTTTTTGACAAAAAAATAAAAAGATAATGGGAAAATAATAAATGATTAAATACCACTAGGATACTTTTTATTTGATTTTTGGGATCTAATTAATAATAACAAGATGATTATTTTGAGACAAAAAAAATTGGGTTTTCTAAAAATTGAACGCTCAAGCACGTAGTGCATTGGACTTAAAAAACATCTTTTTTAATGTTCATGTTTGCTCAAGAAGCTACATCACCAAAGTCTTAAGAATATATGCCTAAGATTTGCATGATTTGAGCAAATGACCATTATGCTCTCACGAGAGCGCAACGTCATTACGGAGTAATTTGCACGAATAAAATGCCACCTCGTTGCTACTAGCGGTGGTTTAAAAATTAAAACTAAAGTCCCTCATCGAAGACTTTGGAGACTGAATGCCATTATAAAAGGCAATCCCAACGTCACTCGAACGTGTTCTTTAGTCAAGCACGGTAAGGAACTCAGTTGTACGTGTATGATGGGGGGCCTACAGAGAGTATTTTGAATACTGTAGCGATATCGTTGGCACGGGCGGTGCACTGTAGGAATCTTTAAATACTGTAGCAAGTGTTGACACGGTCGGTTTACTATAGGAATCGTTGGCATGGGCGGTGTATTGTAGGAATCTTTAAATACTGTAGCGAGTATTGACATGGGCGGTTTACTATAGGAATCGTTGCAACTCGACGATTTGTTGATACGAGCGATTTGTTGATACGGGCGGTTTACTGTAGGAATCATTGCAACTCGACGATTTTTAAAACACTGATCTCATTATATACAATCGTTTACTGTAGGAATCGTTGCAACTCGACGATTTTTAAAATACTGGTCTCATTATATAAAATCCCTTAAGGATATTGATATTGTGCAACTCGATGATTTTTTTAGTGTAGGAATCGTTGCAACTCGACAATTTTTAAAACACTGGTCTCATTATATACAATCCCTTAAGATTATTAATATTGTGCAACTAGACGATTTTTAAAACACCGGCCTCATTATATACAATCCCTTAAGGTTATTGATATTTCTCCCGATACCTTCTCTTGGTTTGCTTCTAGTAGGTCAATTTAGAAAACCAGAGACAAAATTATACAATGAGTCATTTCTTGCTCGTTTATTTCGGGTTATTGATATTTCTCCGGGTACCTTCTCTTGGTTTGCTTCTAGTAGGTGAATTTAGACAACCAGAGCCAAAATTATACAATGAGTCATTTCTTGCTCTTTTATTTCTTATTAGTTCTCAAAACTTATAATTACTATTTTCATTGCATGTGTAAGTTCGCCTTCTTGAGTTAGGGTCTAAAAGAATTCAATATCTAGTAGGTGAATTTAGAAAACCAGACCCAAAATTATACAACGAGTCATTTCTTGCTCTTTTATTTCTTATTAGTTCTCAAAACTTATAATTACTATTTTCATTACATGTGTAAGTTCGCCTTGTTGAGTTAGGGTCTAAAAGAAGTCAATGTCTTAGATTCCGCTCCAGTATTTGAACTTATTAGTTCCAAAAATCTATATGTTGTACTATTTTGTGCATACCTCACAAAAAAAAATACATATAGAGGTTCTATGTCCTTATTTGCTCTTAACCAAATAAAAAAAAAATCCTAGTTTGTTTGAGCAACTTCGGCACTATGTCAGATCTTCCGCTCAACAATTCCATTTTGTTTATGTATCGCAACACATGTTCACTATCTCTTGATCTTATTCTTTTTAATAAATCCTATGTATTAATTTTTTGTCTTAAATTTGTTGAGTCTCATATCTAACTCATTAGCTACGAGTGATTTGAATCCTTTGAAGTACGCAAATATTTCATATATTTTCTTTATAGAAAATCCACATTTACTTGAAATAATTATCAATGAAAGTGATATAGTACATCAAACTCCTGAGAAATTGCTTTGGGCTCACACTCCACACATCAATGTGAAATATCTCTAATGAGCACTTTTGTGGTGGACTATTGGATAAATTGATGCTTTGTAGCCTTTGCAATCACATATGCTTTTCAAATGCGCTTCCCATCAAATCTAATCACAAGCATTTCAGTAATTGACATATTCCCAAACCAGTCTTTAAGTTTTGAAAGATTGCAATGTCACATTCTCTTCAAACTGGAGAAATCCGTACTCGTGGCAAATTAACCAGCAATGTATTATATCCTATTAACCTTTTTTTTTTTGTAAAATAGTTTAAAAATGAAAAAAGATCAGTCACAAGAGCTTGGGAGAGATGAAAAAGTCTTATTTCATCTTCATATTTTGACCATTTTTTATAGATTACAGTCGAAATAAAAACAATGATGAAAATGGTGAAAAACCTGTTACAAGAGAGAGGTTTAAGTAGAAGTCATGCGGTTCCCCAATGATCAATCAATCTGAAATCAGGAATAGCCTGAGTTGAGTCGTTACCCAATTCACTATAACGTACCAGGCGATTTAATTGGAGCGAGACCCCGATTCGCAGCCCTCAAGAAGAGACTGCCCTCATGATTTCAATTCGACTGGTGACTTTTTTTTTTTTTTTTGAAATGTTAACGTCGGATGGAATGATATGTTGAAACATTCACTTCCCTAACTACCATCGATGCCTGGACTCCATTCCCACCATTGGTAATTTCTAATCATTGATTTACTCAGTTTAAATCATTTTTGTTCTTTTTTTGTGAAATTGATGTTAAATGTTGACTTTTGATCTTGCGGAGGTTACGACTTTTGATAGAGAATGGTGAAAGCATAATATTCGTGTAGCCAACCTCAAATCATTGGGATAAAACTTGTACAATATATAATGATGATGATGTGAAATTGTATGTAAAAGCGAATCAAACTCACTGTGAGATGATTTGGTTCATAATCCTAAATCGACAATGGCTATCATCCTCACAAAAACATACGGGTATTGGATGGTTATGAGGCTTTTTGAGTGGTCATACCGAGTTTGTTGGGCAATTCCTTTCACCTTTTTAATTAATTTCGCCATTTTCTCATTTTATTTATTTATTTTGAATGGTCCTGTAATTTAGTTGCCAAAAAAAAAGAAAATTTGTCCCGTAATTTCCCAACAATTAGCTGGCAGGATTAGTGGTGAATATTCAAACTTAGAGCCATAAAAAAAAAAGAAAAAAAAAAACGACAATCAAGCACCACTAACTCGTTTATCTTACTAGGTGGATCCAATGATTTAAAAAACATATCAATGACTTGGATCGGGTTTAGAAAAACCAATCCGGATCGGTGAATCAACATTTTTACTATGACAAAACGCCGTTTTACTATAGCAAATTGTCAGTTCTCTTCTAGACTTAGAACGATTTTCTATATATTGACAGAATCGACATGGGATGACTGAATCCCAGGTAGGCCCAAGCGATTTCATACCAACCCGGCGTCTTTTGAATCATTGGGTGGATCAATGCCAATTGTTACACTTATAGACAGAGAGAGAGAGATATATAAATAATTACTCGTTGCTTAGTATTAAAGAGAAATTGAAATGGATCTCAAAAATTGATACCCGTGCCGGTATCTCAGTACCACTCATAGCTTTATTAATACAAAATATTACAGCATCATTCCATTAGAACCAACACACATACACCATACATGAACAAAAAACATGAAAAAGAAATTGAGAGAAAATAGAAAGAGAGATCAAAGAGAGCTGAAAGAATAAATAATGAACAAATGAAAGGTTTACAAATGTCTTTTTGGCATAACCAAACACCAAAAATACACATCCATGAATGGTTAAAATTTAATGTTCATGAACACCATCTGATAATCTTGCAATGAATCTGAGCTTCATCCACTGATAAATAGCTCATCCACTGATAAATAAGAAGACCCATTATTACTGCATTGAAGATCCAGCCAAAATAGCTTCATTTACTGGCATTGAAGAAGGAGAAGCCTCTTGTAATTGAAGAGCATACTCCAAATTCCATAGAACATCACCCATTGATGGCCTATCAACCCCATATTCTCTCAAGCACTTGTCCGCTGCCTCTGCAAATTTCTTCAAAGAATCAGGAGCTATTTTCCCGGCCAGACTGGGATCTATAATCTTCTCTAAAAGCCCCTTTCTTTGCCATTGCATAGCCCACTCTGCAAGATTCACTTGCTCTCTAGGAAGTGCTGGATCAAGGGCGGGTCTGGCGCATAAAACCTCACATAAAACCACCCCAAAAGAGTATACATCAGATTTATCAGTCAATTTTTGCCTCCTGAAATACTCAGGATCTAAGTAACCGAAGCTTCCTTTCACTGCTGTGCTCACATGGGTTCGCTCCATTCCTGGTGCTGTCTTTGATAGGCCAAAATCAGAAACTTTTGCTATCAAATTCTCATCCAAAAGAATGTTAGTTGTCTTGACATCTCTATGAATTATTCCTTGTGCTGCACCAGTGTGAAGATAATGGAGCCCTCTTGCTGCCCCAATACAAATATCTAACCTCTGTTTCCATGTTAATGGCTTTGAAGTCTTGCCATATAAGTGGTCTCTTAAAGGCCCCAAGGCCATGTATTCATAAACCAAAATCATCTCTGATTGTTCGTCACAATAACCGATCAGTGAAACCAGGTGCCTGTGCCGAAGCATTGAGAGCATTTGGATTTCGGTCTGGAACTCATTTAGGCCTTGCTCTGACTGTGGGTTCCCTCTCTTGACTGCAACTTTGGTGCCATCATCAAGCTCTCCCAGATAGACGTTTCCAAAGCCTCCAACCCCAATTATTGATTTCTGGTTGAAGCTTTTCGTGGCTTCTTGTAACTCTGAGAAACTGAAGTATCGGCCCATCCCAATGCTCGATGAATAAATGTTTCCACTGAACCCACTCCTGGAACCTCCTCTTTGTGATGATATTATGCTCGAATGGCCACCTGAATGAAGAGGGAGAAGCCACGAAGAGAAACTGTTATGTTTTCTCCAATCTTCAGGTCTCTTATGCCACCTAAAAACCATGGCCCCAAGTCCCACAAATGCCGCAAAAGCCATGAAAAGACCCACGGCTGTTGCGGTGCCGTTCTTTGAACCAGCCTTAACCAGAGATCTACCACGATGAACAGAGAATTCTCCATCCAAGCTCCCAAATGAGTTGCTAATCTTCATGATTTCAAGCCCATTAAGAAGAGCATTGGGCTCTGGTTCATCAGACCCAGATGGGTCTGGACTCATTGGACCCACTTGAACAATTATTCGACTCATTGCTATCGATGCATTAACCATGAAATCCTTATAGTAAGGGACAGCCAAATCAAGGGCCAAGGTTGATAAATCAAGCCCTGTGACTGCAGGGTAGCCATTGATATACACATTGAAGTATAGACTATTCAGAGCCTGGCTTATGATATCACAAAAATGGAGCCTAACCAGATATCCAAAACCCGGGTCTACACTAAAGCCCCATGTCAAATTGAACCTATGGCGAATCATTGGCGAAAGCTCTAGAGCTGACGCATAAACCCAATTTGGGGCAATCAATGGACTTACAGTCTCTGTATATGAAATAGCAGCTGGTGAAATCTTCACACTTTTAGCTATTTGTTTCACCCATAAAAAACTTTTATCAGGTAGCCATGTCCTACCTAGTGTGTCATTCTCTGGTGAAATTTCAGGACCCCCAATATTGATCCTATAAAGAGCCTGTAAAGTATGTTGGCTTATCCCCGGAAAGTCACCTACAGGTGAAATTCCAGATACCACATCAGAGATCAAGGTTTTGGGAGCCGAAACCACCTCGACTCCATTAATAAAAGCTACAGAGTTTCTCAATGGGTTGAAAATTACAGAGAGGTGATCAGTGGTCGCATTTACCAGAAACTCCTTCATGACCCATTTGGTGCTGTTGTCTATGTTGAAGTTATGGAGTAGAACAATATCATCGGTGGTCACTGAAAACACAGCATCCGTTAAGGCGAATTGCTCGTTCTCCAATGGGTAAAAGTAGAGGCGAATCCAATGCCATCCCTTATCCACAACCTTGAACCGATAGATCGACTGTTCGACAAAGATCCTGGCCGAAGAATAGAGGGAAGATGGGGCATTGACGGCCGGAGACGAGACCTGGATATCGTCTTTCGTAGAGAGATAAGAGGAAGCCTCTGAATCTGATATGAAAACACGCCCACCATCTAATTTCAATGATTCTGAAGATCCTGAATTTATATAGAACTCATCAGAAGGAGAGAAGGTTAAGGTTTGAGCAAAAGATGAAGAGAAGAAGAGAGAGAAAGAGAAAAGAACCAGCAGAGAATGGCCCATGGCGTCTCTCTGGTTCTTTTCGAAAATGCAGTTCTTGGGGTTTCGTAGAGAGGGGAGAAAGAGTGGTTAATGGCGTTTCTTCGAGAACGCGTGCGTGTTTCTCTGCTGTTATATTTGGTGGGGTTGACTAGTTCTCAGATGGGGTGTCCCGATGGAAAATACGGATATACCCCTAGTTAAGCGGACGCGAAGGTCCGAGGTGAAGGGTAAGAAAGGAAATGTATATTATTTCTCTGCGATGTGTTCAGGAGGCAAATGTTGGAGCGAGAATAAAAAGGCGCCAAAATGCTCACTATATTGTTTTCAGTTTTCAATTTTCATGAGAGGTTAGTTTGACACCTTCATTTGTAGTAATCCATCCATAATCCAATCTCTAAGTTTGTTTACGGTGGATACACGAGTGATGGGTGGCTGTATAAGGTTTCTCTCAGTGGAGGAAAAATCGAACGGCGGAAGTACTTCAAACCACAGTTACCGGGAGTGGCACCGTGAACGGCTTCGGTTCTGGGAGTGGGAGCGTCAGAGCGGCATCTGCTCAAAGCTATGGAGCTCGAGAAAAAAGTTTCGGTGAAGGTAAAAGTAGCGGATCAAGATCCTGTATGAATAGGGAACACGTTCCCAATACATTAAGATCGAGATCCCTATTCAACGGGAGTGCTTTTCATGTCAAATGGGATCGTATTCCTATATTCTCTAGGATCGTGCTCCCATCAACAACAGGATCGCACCCCCATCTAAGAATGATTGTGTTCCTATTTAGAAAGGATCGAGCTCCATTCAAGGAAGGATCGCGTTCTGTGCATGACGAGGCCATGCTCCCATCAAAGAACTTAACTTTTATAAAAATTTGGTTTAAAATATAATTATTTTATTTTAAAAAGTAATTTTATTTAAGAAGTTTCTTTTAAGATGCTTCAGGAAAATAAGGATGGAGTTCCAAAAATACAGGGATCGTGCTCCTAAAGCTCTGGGAGCAGGGATCTAATTTATTCAGGAATGAGATCCTAAAATTTAAGGAACGTGTTCCGTACAGTATCGGGAACGAGTTCTGTTGTGAACGGGATCGCGAATCCTAAGAATAGGACTGAGTAGGGAATGAGTTACGGTCGAGATCTTGACTACGGAACACCCGGAGCAGGAGCGCCACCCTAGTTGGGCGGTCCCGATAACTATGATTCAAACGGCCTAACCGGTAAATCAGCCGGTTCGACTAGCCTAACTGAGCAAGTTCCAAGTGATAAAAAAAATACTAAAAAAATATAATAAAATATAATAAAATATATTTAAGCATGATTAAACAAAACACATCCAAATGAAGTAAAACATTAATGAAAAAATGGCTTTTAAAGAAAGAATCGCTTTGTATCTAGAGATATTTTTGAAATTTAAAAAAAAAATAAAAAATATAAAAATAAGTATTATGGCCAAATTTTTTTCCAATATTTGCTAAAGTAATGAAAAACATAAAAAAATACATTACAAACAAAATATTTTATTATTTGATTTTATATAAATTTTTTGTTGAATTTTTTTAAGATACCCGATCGGTTTACCAAAACTCGCCGGTTCCGATTTATAACCGGGGCATTACATTTGAGCCGCCCAATTTTGCCTACACTGGATTCTCTCTCATCGATTTGAGCTTATTAAGGATGATTTTTGGGAAATAGATATGAATTTCGTTTCTGATAGTTCACTAAAATGCAGTGAATATCGATTCTCTCACTCCAAGGAGAAGGATCCTATTTTCCAAGAACTCAGCTTGAGGCTCTATATCTCTAAATTTTCTCTCAATCAGGCAAAGAAACAAGAATTCTCTCTCCCTCTTTATGAATTCTAGCTCAAGTGGGGAAAATATTTATATTTATGCCATGTTTTTTGTTTGGACAAAATAAATTTATAGCTATGGTATTCATTTTTTAACTTTGTTTTTAAAGATATGTCAAATTTACCTCATCTAAATAAAAAAGCGATATATGGTTCTACACTTTCATAACTAAAGTTGCAATCAGGGCTTCCATGGGACCGAGTTTTCGAACTGATTATTGCAACTCATTTTAACCCCGGCATATCATTAGATACAGTTCAATGAGACCATTTATTTTTGGAATAGGGAGCGCACAATTACTTGTGTCACAAAATTAGAAAAAAAAAAAATCAATTTTTTAGTCGAAAAATATATGCAAATGCATTGAAAAGCCTTATTAAAGCATGTGTATATTATAGAATGGAACAATGTCGTACTTTCTTTCAGGGACCATATTTGAAAAGGGCCTCATTTGAACTTTTCCCTTACAGATATTTTGACTATTGATCCTAATTGGGTTTAAGGATAGCTTTTCAGTTGTCAAATGCATAACCAAGCCCTAGATTCTCAGAAATTTGTCAAGGTAATACCTATTTCTCTTTTGTGATATAGTTGTCATGATTTCGGTTATGGAGAGCTGATTGATCTCAATATATGCTAATCTTTCAAATGGTGGTTTTTCAGTTTATTTCCCCTAATTGGAGGAAGTTAATCTTTTATAGGTTTTTAAAACCTGCCAAACGTTGAGGTATTTGGGCCAATTATTTCATTAGTAACTGGTAATGACATGGTGTTTTCAATTAGAATGGGTTTACTATGTTAGTAACTGGTAATGACATAGTGATCTGCTAAGGTGCTAGTGTTCTCTAAGAACTTGTTTAGTGAAAACTCCTGATGAGAAAATTGCAGAAGAAAATAAAAAAGGATGATTTTGAATTAGCGAAAGGGAACCACCACATGCCATCATCTTTTGAATTTGGTAAATGCCTCTGCAGCTATATGACTACATTTCTTATTTTTCTATTTATTTATTTATTTGTTGTCAGCTTATTATTATTATTATTATTATTGTTATTATTATTTGTCAATCATATTCAAGTTTAGTTTTGAAGAACATGGAGGTCGTTGCCGATAAAGGGATGGTAGGAGAGAAGGGTGGATAGGACTGATCTCATGAAACAGGGGAGAGTAGTGGGCATAGGGGCTAGCAAATTTAAGTTTGTTGAGGACTATGATGTGCCATTGAACAGCTGGGACTAATATCTACCATTTCAGAGTGATGAAAGGAACATAACGATCGCTTTCGATGTGAATCAAAGATGGCACAATGAGTAATTGTGTTTTTCTGAGCTCTTAGTGGCTATTCTAGACATACAAGAGGTCTGGAACTGTTGTGGTGAGGGCCAGTGAACCTACTTCATGATCCAAATGTCATAGGAAGAGTTAGTGATGGAACACTAAGATTAGGATTGGGGACTAGATCAAGGTGCATCCATTAGGAAAGGGTTGGAAAATTGTGTGAATTAGATGTGAGAGTTGCACTTCTCAAGAGTAGGCAAATGGGACAATCTATTTGATTCCAATTAGAACTTTGAATATACTGATAGTACCTTTTCAATCTTCCACAAAACTCCCAACTTAGGAATCTACTGGATTTCCAATTGATTAACCAACAGGTGGAGGGAGATAGATTGGTTTATATTGGAATCGGGAACTCTAAAGCACATACTCCTAGACTCCAAGCCATATTCTGCTAAACGTTCACAGAGTACTCAAATCTTAAACCCTTGAAACTTAGGAAGAATCACTCTTCTGTAGATAATAGCATCATGTCATTTTTCTGGTTGTTCCCATATTCAGCAAAAAAGGCTTACAACACACACTGACTTCTTTCCCACGCCCCGGAAAATAGCTAACTCATAAAATGGACAACAGTACACCACATGACCCAGGAATCTGAATTAACTCGAGGAATAAAATCAAATTTGCGCAGGAAATGACAAGTGTAACAGTAGATGGCGAACTGCTCCTCCTTGTTGCAACAGAGGCATGTTGCAGAACTGGGAAGTCAGCTTTAGAGATTGTAACTTGCTTATCAAAGTAAATACCAACCTTCCAAGTGCATAAATTCAAGGGGAATTGGGGATGAGTGGGCTATAGTTGACAGGTACTTAACACCTCTACCATGACTAAGGATACTCAGAAAAGACCTGGTATAAATTTGACTCGAAACAGGCCCATTGCCAAGACAACTTATAGAAGCCCATGAAAAAAGAACATCAACTCTAATCCTTTCCTTCGTTTGGTGTAACTCATCAAATGTGAGCTCCCTAAACATTCCTCTTAAAACAACAGATAGCCCCCACATGATTTTCCCCTTTGAGATCAAGATGTGACTGGGTGTTTTCAATTTTTTAATGGGACATCGGCAATGGATGATCCTTGAGGTGCCATCCTGTTCTGCAAATGGATGAGGCCTTTCCTGAGGGCAATGGAATATTCTGTTGATTTTTTCCCATTGATATCAGTTACAATTAAGATGATAGGTAGCTTGAAGTTGGACTGTTGGGGATGAGCTATCATCATTCATCAAGGTGGGTGAAATTTGAAGTTCTATTTGGGTAAGAAGATGATCTGATTGTTTCATGGTTACAGGCCTAGAGAGGTGGATTCGAGGAGTTCATGGAAGTGGGCTGCATAAAACTTTGTGTCGTTTATACTGACTGGTATTGAAAGCTTAGTGGGTTGCTGGAACCTTCTTTGAAATAATGAGACTGGAGAATAGTGGTCCCACTATGTTTTTTTAATGGTAATTTCCAATACTGGTCCACTTGCTGTGGGCACCAAGGGAAACATTCTTAAATGAGCCATAGTGTCATGTTTCCTTTTTTTGTCTTCAGTTGATTTGAATGCCGCCTATGTAGATGCAGTCCGCAAATCAATGACCATCTATTGTTGGAGAAGCTATTTCTCTATTGAAAAGGTAACCACACATATCGTATTAATAAAGACGAGGAGAACACATTGGTTTCTAGTTTGAAGCATTGTGGGTTTTAGAAACCTCGTAAATGATTTGAGCTATGACTTCCTTGGATCATGCATGAGCAATTTTACTTGAGAAAATGGTTACTCTTGAGTATGCTACTCTGTTTCATTGTTAATTTAATGGATGGGCTTCTATATTTATTATTGGCTTAAAAAGATACAAGATGTCCCTTTTGCAGTAAAGCAAACCAATCCTTCCTTGTGCGTCCCACT